TGTTCTTGATTGGCCGCGTGGATCAACTTTGTGCTTCTACATCAAGAAATCTAGTCCATAATCATAAACGAATGGGTGCTTTCTCGTCTCAGTGTGCTGTTAAAAATTATCTGTCTCCACATTGGCTATTGTAAAAGGTTTATCAGTAAATAAGAGCCGGCCATCTGGCAGCAATCTGACTGTCTGGCATTTCTTTCATTTGGTGTAATTAAGGCATAATGTCAATGGGGATAGAGAGATATTACAGGATATTGTTTCTCTCCTGATAGACAAAGAGCAAAGCAAGCCTAGGCATTTATGGAGAATAAACTCTGAACTGCAGCTGAGATATTTATTCTCAAAGTGGGATGTTTATCCTGTGTCTGCATAGACATTACTGCTGTTGTATCAAATAGTTAGCAATGCAAATGTAATCATTTTGCCTAATAGACAAAGGTGCAACAGTGACAGCTTTCTTTTGAACTGGTAATAAACAGCCAGTTCTAACTGGCAGAGAAAACCAGCCTGTTTTGTATTTCAGCCAATCAGCAAAGGTCATATTTTTTAAAGAACAGAGGTTGTTGCTTTTTTTTAATGCTGCCTATATTTTTCATGGCTAATGGGAAAGTATAGCAAATTCTATTTGCATGTATATTGAGCTGATATTGTACATTTGTGTATGGAAATGTAAATAGTAGCAGTTACAGCTCAACCCAAAACTGCATATTATATTGATGATCATTAATGATTCACTTTGTAAGACTCTTGCAGTAAGAGTTTCCATTATAGAATCTTTAAAAGTAAAATGTTCCCTTACTGCAATTGTACTACAGGTAGGGTGACCATTAAAATTTGAGGGAAATCCAGGATTGTGGGGAGCAAGGGAGCAGCAGGAGGCTGGGCATGGCAGCAGTGCACATGCACGTGCGCGAGCCCCCCCCCCACACACACAGAGCCTGACCCTGTTGCTCCTTCCCTCCTCCCCACCTTGACTCTACTGCACAAGTGACTCCACTCCAATAGAGTCCAGACCAGGGACCAGCCATGGGGAAAACTGAAGCAAAATTTCCAAAGTCTGGAGCTGGACACGTGCAGGCACGTTTGTGCCAATCTAGGACTTTTGCTTCAATTTTCTCCACTGGCCAGGGCACTGAGACACCCTCCAGAATTTGGGACTGTCCCAGCCAAATCAGGATGCATGGTCACCCTAAATATAAGGATTTATCCATAGTCCTATGAAGTACTACAAGGACTTGATCCAAAGTCTTTTAAAATCAGTCAATTATGAGGTTGCAGTTTTTGGTTGCTAAGACATATAAATATTTCTGGTGCTTTTATTTTATAATGCTCCTAGCAGATAACGTCTAACTTACCTTTGGATAGTTTACATGCAATATAGCTGTCAAAGTCCACTTCCAGTCCTATTGGCACATTCTCACATATCATATACTGATTTAAAACTCTTGTAATTTGTAATTCCACATCTGCTTGCAGATCCAGAACAATGAGCTGCACAAACACTTCAAAAGAAACACTTAAAAATATTGTCTGAATCAAACCCACAAGTTTGTTTCATCTGTATTTGCAACTCTTTAATTTTATTCTCTTTAAGCTTACTTTTTTCAAATGAATATATGCATAAAATGAAAGTCTTGCAACTTCTTGTGCAAACATATTCAGAAAGGAAGTTGTTATAATCTGAAAATCTCTTTATTTTTCTGTATTCTTGTTTAATTTTATTTTAATAAAGTCTTCCAGTCAGAGAGCAGGAATAATGCCCTGTGATTTTAATTGACCAGGTGTGTAATGAATAGTGAAAGGTCAGCCATGCACATAGCAAATAGCCAATGAGATATTCACGAGACTAAAAAGGGTTTGCATAAGCTTGCATCAAGCTGTTCTGAATAATGAATAAATAAGTCAAATACTAACTATTTGTGGTTTATATTTGAAACTCAATACTTTAAATACTTAAATCTTAAAACTCAAAAGTAGGTTAAAGTTGACTCAATAATTCCCTATATTATAGGACTTCGAGCCTCAGTCCTACAAATTCTTAGGGCTTCTCTGCATTGCCTCTGCTATGTCTAGATCTAGAACTACCACTGAAAAATGCCTTGTCCACTTGCCCCCACTCAGTGCGCACCAAATCCCAGAAGTATGGTAGCTGTAGCCACATGGAAGCAGATGCTCTGGTGCTGCCCTCGTGCTCTTTGTTTTGGGTTTGCATCTTGGAGTGCTTAGGCTACTGTAAGGCAGCTGTACTGCTTCATTTCCAGGCTTTGGCTTGTACTGAGTGGCAACATGTGGGTAGGCCATGTTTCTTAGCAAGAATCATGGTTATGACACAAACAGTGGAGACATGCCTTTTAAGTATGTATACACCCATTCATGTAAGTAGTCCTAACTGCTCCCATTAGACTGATACTATAACTAAAGTTGTTCATATGCTTATGTGTTTGAAGGACTGGGACAATGGCAAATAAATGTGTAGCATAAAGCCTTACCAAAGCAACCAGAAAATCTACATGACTCTCCTAAGTATATCCAGGCCATGTCATGAATGCCTCAGCCAGTTATGTTTCCAATGAACTAGGACTTGGTTGCATGATCTAACTCCCTTCTGTCTAACAAAACAGCTCCTGAAACCTATGAAAATGAAATTTTTGATGGACACTAGGTTGTCTCCCTTTGTTTATGGACCCTTCCTTGGTAGTATTCTGGTTTATAGTTTAACTCTCTGGGGACGTGTGGCTGGCAAACTGAGGCATGCAGGTCTTGCATGGGAATGTCTTAAACACTCATGGTTAATACAGTAGTTGTACAGGTCTAAGTAAAAGAATTGACATCTGGACACAACCATTCTGAGAATCCTTGGATTTGGTGGATGTCCTTGCAAGGGAGGCAAAGCCTTTACTGCTCTCACTTTTCCAGCTGTTTTCTACTTCTTGTGATGGACTGGCATCCTTTGGTTTGAAGAAAGCAGGCTCTCCTCTCTGAGTTAGGTGGTCATTTGGAGAAATTGTATCTGTCCAGCCATGTCCAACCAGAGGCAAAAGCCCTGTGGGCAGAAACCTAGTTGTCAAGTAGGTGTGGTCCATCTGAGGCTGGTGATCCCTTTTACTGCTTTCTCACATCTGTCCAGGCATACTTTGTTCCTATGTGCTGGGGTCCAGCTTCAAAATGGATGATCTAATTCTCAGTGAAAGTTACAAGTACAAATAGTGTTCATAAAGCCAAATGGAATTTGTAACTGAGCAAAGACACGTATCCCAAACTGTCACACACCCCAGGCAAAATTGAAAAAGATCCAATAGCTATAATATTTCATAGAAGAATTACATCTCTATAGCCATCCAGCACTAGGATGGCAAATGCTGTATAGACTTATTGATGACAGCCCAGCTCCAGTGACACTTGCTAATCAAAGATACTTTGAAAGAGGATTAAGGGCCACTCTGAAGCCATTCACTTGACAGGGCAATCTCTAATATCCTGTCTGTCAAGTTCTCTTTGGTAAGTAAGTAACAATGCCTTGTCAACAACAGGTAGGGAGAGATGGGATATGGATGCTGCTACACAAACAATCTAGCACCTGGAATATATATTTATAGCAAATTTATGGTCAAATAATAATTTTGGACCAGATTTTCTAAAGCTGGTCTCTGCCTTTGCACTCATAATTATGTGTGCCCATATTTTGTGGAGTGCACAAAAGGCAGTCCTAAATAAGGGAAGGCTGAAAAATTGCATCTGTATCCTATGAGAAACAGCATTTAATTTGATTTCTTTAAAACAGTTTTTGAGGAGGAGCCTTTCTCTGAAGGTATTTGGTATGCAGGAAGCCCACTTAGGGCTATGTAATGATGGACATATAACTGGCATATTATTCTTAGGAATCCTTATTATTCAGGTTGTATCCAACTCACAGATTTTAGTTTAACACAACTCTGATAATCTTTTGTGTGTGTGTGTTTGTTTTTGGATTTGGCTCCCATGAGTTTTGGTTTATGTGATTTTGTACTGCCTAAATTATACTTTGAGCTTTAGATGTGGGTAACCATCAGATCTCAAAATAAAACTTAGCTGAAATAACTCTCCCAGGCTTTAAATGGCAGTCAGCATTAACATCAGCAGAACAGGCTACTTACTCATGCTCTCAGGGCTTGAAATCAACAAGTGGAGTTTATTCTGCTTTTGTAATAATTTTACTAAGAGCATTTACACACAGTTTTATCACAGTTACAGAGTTTGCAGGTTCAAATAATTCCATGAAACTGGTATCTAGTTCAAAGACCACTGTGGAGCCAAAAGAAGTCTTGTGTCAGATTCATTTGACACTGACTTAGGTCTGTACACTGATGGATTCAGAACAATCATATTCCAGAATAACCATACAACACACTCTAAAATATAATAAACACCGTGTTTTGAAAGGCAGCATGAAGGGGAAAAGATTCTTCCAGAGATATGGTTGTGTAAAGCAGGGAGTCTAATTTTCAGATGACTCTGCTGAAACCCTAGCTGTAGCTGAAAACTGGTCTCCATGGGTGGATCTATGATTTTGAAATGAGCTAAAGTCTCTCCAAGGTCGTGAAATAGGAGGAGAGAGATAAAGAGAACTACCGGACAGTAAAATTACCCTAAGAAAGGTTGGCTTGATTAGTGGAACATCAAGGCAATTAAAAAGGAGAGACAATCCTTAATATGACCAGTGAAATACAATAAGCCATTAAGTTAATTGACTCCCTCAGCTGCCTGAATAGAAATGCAACTCCTGTAGATCAGGAATCAAAGCAGGGTTCTTCTCTCCTAGTCAGAAATTCAGCTTGCCCTTTAATATATGCTCCCCAGGTTTGTGGGGGATGGTGCTTAGTTTAAGTGAGAAAACTTGGTAACATGTCTAGCAAATAAAGCACCACTCTAGTCATGACAGATGAAAACAAAAACAACCCCACACTAATAATATAGTGCGTATATAATTTTGTTTTACTGTTTATTTAAAGTGATGAAATTTCAGCATGTCAACAAGGTTTGATCACCAAAAAATTCATCCAATGCTACAGCTAAAAAGAAAAAAATCTTAAAATCTTCAATGAATATTTTCAGTAATTTTCATCATAGTATTTTTCTGTTCAAAAATTGAACTTCATTATGGAAAATTCCACAAACATGTTAAATTTCAGAATATTGGCCTGATATAATAATTGTTGTTGCTGTTACTCTGCCTAGTGGCCAGAAGAGCCACAGGTTTGAGGGAGTCCCTGGTGCAAAGGCAAAGATCCTGCTTTATCAGAACAAGGCATCAGGCAAAGTATCAACCAAAATCTATCTTTAGTTATCGTTAGACAACTTTTTCTCTTTTTGTCTTCAGAGTCCAAATAAACGATGTACAGGAACAACTTGACAGTGGTATACAGAAGGAAAACAGCAGTTTCTGGAGAGCTCTTGAAGGTTATAACTATACTGTTTATCATCCAATGGAAGAGGTGAGGAGGTACCCAAGTCTGACTCCCAGTGGAGCCAGAATTTCGTTCTTTGTTTTTGATTCTCCATAAGGTAAATGCTCTGCGTGACTGATAGATCACAAGGGTCCAAATAATGTTACTGGTATCAAGCCAATGTTTGTAACTTCTAGTTCATATTGTCATATTTAAATATGCCTTTTCATTATTATGACAATTATTTGCCATATTTACCTGCATACTACACATGCTTTTTCCTGCAAAAGTATCCCTCCAATTGGGGTCTGTGTCTTGAGCAGGAAAGCTATTTCTGCATCAGAATAGAAGGACAGAGATGTTGAAATGGCTTTAGAGGTCTCTGTTTCTCTCACTTCTCTCTAGCCAGCATTCAGCAGAGCAGAAACTGCTGCCAAAAGTTGCTGCTAATTTGGCAGTGGCTGTGATGGGGTTAAAGCCTGTGTTTTTGTCTGAAGCAACCAGTGAGCTGGCTGAGGGCAAGCAAGCTACTTCATGGAGTTAGCTTTCAGTTGTGATTATGGAAAAAAAATGCACTAATTAAGCTCTGAAAAGCTTCGTACTTAATAGAACACCAATAAACTGAAGGCTGTTCCTGTCTTGATGAGATTATAACATAGAAGGAATGAGATGTACTCAGAAAACCAGAGAGGAAAAACTTCCTGTTTTTCCACATCTGGAGGTTTGCTTCCCTTCTGTGGAAGTAGTCAGCTTTTAGAAAAGACTTAAACAAAATCAGAGTTAGAGGAAAGAGTCAACTGGCCTGTTGCTCACATATCTGTGTTACAGTCTGATTAGAGGGTACTTGCAAAAACAGCCTTATGGTATTGCAGATGTAGAAGATGAGGGAGAGAACTCAGTAAACACTTGCATTTTTTGGTTTGTTGGTTGCATTGTGGAGAACTGCTGTTCAGTTGAAATATGGTTAAAACTAATAATAATCTGAATGGAAGGATGGATTTAAAGGCGGTGTTAGGATTTGGTGGAATGATCCAGTGCCCATTGAAGTCAATAGAAAGGGGCCCGTGGATCAACAATGTTGGCTAGGGTACAAAGGATTGCTTGTCTTGTCCTGCAGTGACACAAGCCCAGCCTGGATTTTTTTTTTGATGCAAGTGAAATACTTTCCTCTTGTGCAAAGTACTATCACAGCCTGAACTATGCACAGAGTAAAATATTGTATAAGCAACATAAAAAAATTTATATCTGGAAATGGGGGGAAAGAGCACAAGGAACTCCCTGTTAACGGCAGCATGTCCTTTTGACTGTTTCAGATTTATCATTGGATGTATCAGATAAAGGAAAGCAACAGGGAACTGGTGACTCAGCATTATCTAGGAACAACATATGAAAAACGGCCAATGTATTATCTTAAGGTGAGTGAGGTTCTGTTTTTAAAAATAAAGGGCATCTTCATAAACTGGGGGCACGTCTACATATGGCCATATGGTGCCTTTGTTACTGTGCCGTCATTTAGCACTTCCCTTTGGAAGTACTAAATAATGGTGCAGTAATGGCCTGTACTGCACCATGCTGGCTGCACACGGTTATTTTTGGCTGCTATGTCACCATAGCAACATAGTATAATAAGGGAGTGTGTTGCTACAGCACTGTAGTGGAGGCATCCTGGTTTTTGCCAACAGTAAAAAGCCTCTTGTGTAGATGCACCCTTGGAGTGGTAAATGTCAAGGTTCAAACCTTCTCTAAAAGGATTCTTGTCCAGGTTCACTGAAAAAAACAGGAGATGTTTTTGCTTTTAGATGATATATTAGAGATGCCTGCTATCACTCAGACAATTATAAAAAATCTTTGAGATCACTGTTACAATGTGAAGACACCAGGTGTGGCTAAAATATTATATAGTGGAGAGACCATAATCAACCTTGTGTAACTGTATATGTCATAGCTGCTTCTCTAGTAGAGGGGCTGCCTGATTTAAACACCACCTTTCTACTGTGACTGTTTCATGACAATTTGTTCAAGAAGTCATGGCAAAATGACAGTTTTAATCATTTGCTTGGGTATTATCTAATCTGTCTCCAATGCCAAGTAAAATTAGACTTTCTTTTTCTGCATGTCTACTTCCAAAGAACATCTAAGTATGAACAAACAGTCCAGCATATGACTATTATATATCGATAAAAAATGGCTTTATTGACACTCTTTGTTCAACAGGCACTTTAAAATTTTTGTTCTGGGATTATACTGAGACTGGGTTATCAGGGAGGAAAGCCTGTCATAATGAAATCTGTAATAGCAATGATCTTGGATGGCTCAGAAGTATACCAAAGAACACGTTTCGTATCCTGTAATATGCTGGGCTGTTTTATTGTAATATAAGTTTTCCTATTGATCACTTTTTACACTCCTTAGATCAGTCAACCAACAAATAAAGCCAAGAAGATCATTTGGATGGATTGTGGGATTCATGCCATAGAATGGATCTCTCCAGCCTTCTGCCAGTGGTTTGTGAAAGAAGTGAGTCATTCTTTTCCTGTTTTCAGTAATAAAAAGGACATAAAACTGGATACTTCAGTTCTTATCATCTGCTCTTTAAGAGAAAGCTCTATGCTTTCACTCTTAGTGATAGGTGACATTTACTATTTGTGCAGGTTTGGAGGCCCAAGTTCATACAATGGCTTGGTGGTTGGCACCTTGTCCTCTCAATTTGGGCCTGATCCAAACTCCATTGAAGTGAATGGGAAGATTGCCATTTATTGTAGCAGGCTATAGATCAAGTTTTTTGTGTGTATCCCAGAGCCAGCAGGCCACGTGGAACAATTTAAGCTCCTAAGGGTAGAATACTAGAAGATGTAGTATATAGAGATTCCTTAACTTTTTGTGTATAGCTGTCCTAAAGCTCCTGCTTATCTGTGCAGCTTACAACAATAAAAGTAGTAGAGTGAATTATACATGTAATTTAATAGATTGCCATGTCTGAAATGTGTTTGAGGTTGCAGTAGATGTCTTAGTGTGCTTGATGGGCAAGTGAAATTGGGGTTACCACTTGGGATCCAAGACCATCTGATTCTTCTGTGCTAGATCTAAACTAATATGTGTATGATCTTAATTGATTAATGCCAGGTTGTCTGATGCAAGTCTTTTGTGCTCTTTCTTTTCAGATTCTGCAAAATTACAGAACTGATACAAAGATAAGCAGCTTTCTCCAGAACTTGGACTTGTACGTCCTGCCTGTTCTCAATATTGATGGGTATATCTATTCTTGGACCACAGTAAGTAAAGAAAACCCAAGAGCAGGAAAATCTGTCTGTTAATTGTGCAAGGATAAATCAAGAACTAGCAAAATGTTCATTTTATACTTCTGGAGGGCATAGTCAGCAGCAAAGTCTACACATGCAGGTGAGTTTTTGTACATAGAGGCAGAATTGTCAAAGCCTCTCTCTTGCTGGAAGAGAGTGATACAACTGTTACACATAACTACTCATCCATGGGACAAAAGGTACTACCTCCTCAGGAAATCAGCACTCCTTTGAGCTCAGAGGGTGCATCTACACATGTGCTTTACTGCTGTGTAGACTAATTAGCTCCACAATAAAGTGTCATCATCTACACATGTGCCAGTATTAGGGTGCAGTAAACTAATTAACTCTGCCATAAGATAGTACTGTCAGAGACAGTACTATCTTACAGCAGAGTACTTACCTGTGCTGAAATAGATGTGTAGACAATGACAGTGGCTGGTTCGGGCACAAGGGAGCTAAAGCGTAGGGGACTGTCTGCCGCCTAGCCCCACACTATAGCACCCTCATGCCCCAGCCAGCCCCTCCACCACCCGACATCACCATCTGGAGCCTGGGACTAGCCTGCCTGGACCCCCTGCCAGCCTAGAGCTGCTCTGCCCTGGCTCAAAGTGCTGTGGTCTCAGGCGCATGTGTAGACACTGAACCTGGGAGCAGCTGAGTCCAGCATGAATTGTGGTAGAGTTTATTGCTCTGCCTTAATTGTATGTGTAGATACACCCAGAGGGATACAGATCAACAGTAAAGGCACTAGCTTCAAGGATCCAGAATCCATTTTTTTCCTGTTGTCTGGGAATGACCACAATACTTTGAAATGTAGAATGCAGTACTACACATTCCCTCCAGAGAAGCAACAGCACATCACTGGACACCTGAGCAGGAAGGGTGTCTTTTAAGGACAGAAGATTATTACTGGACTCTTCAACTATATGTATCCTCCCAAATGCATATCCTCTTATACCCATTTCTTTTCTGGGTATTGTGGGTAATGTGGAGAGTTAAAAGGGTAGCTCCCTTTTTTGAATCGAGTGAAACCCCTTCTGAATTCTTATTGAACTCAAGACCTTAGCAGGGCCCTGTAGGCTCATCTGCCCCAGCCTATATCCTGTCTGTCTCCTTGTTGAGTTGAATCTGTCTTTCAGCCTGAAGCTTTCCAAAATCAGACATTGCAACATCAGCATTTGGAGAGCTCCGCTCTCTCCACTCTGTTGTGCAGGTGGCTCTCTGGAGAAGCATGCACAGACTGTGCATACTGTGCGCTGGAACTCAATGACTAAGCTTGGGCAGGGGGTATAATGTCAGGGGAGGCAAGGAACTGGGGAGTGATAGGAGCATTGACTGGCAAACCCCACCCCCCTCCAACATGTCTTTTATTGTATCCCTGACAAAACCTGGGTCTGAATAGAATCAATCTTGGACAGTAAAACACCTCCTGTAATCTGGCATTTGCTTTAGAACAGGGTCATCTGCCCTGCTGAAAGGGAATGGCAGGGGAAGTTGCTGTACCACAGTTCAGTTGTCTCCTATTGTACCGTGTATAAAAGGTGCCAACTTGAAAAGAGAGGTAAAGCACGTTCCCTACTCACTCTTTAGAAATGCATCACGCACAGCAGTTGCATTGAATGGAGGTGTTTTTCAGAATGGCAGGATTAAAGTGCTAGGGGTTTATATAGGATGTTGCTTTGATCATTATTCTCTTGTTTCAGTTATGTTATAACACAATGATGCAATTTCTGTTCAGGCACGTCTCTGGAGGAAATCCCGTTCTTCCCATATGAATGGCACCTGCTTTGGGACAGACCTTAATCGTAACTTTAATTCCTCCTGGGGTGGTAAGTTTTAAGTACTTGAGATTTGATACAGGACTAGAGGGAAAAATATACGAAGGAGATGGAACAGCCTCTGAGCTATGTATATCTCTTACTCTAAAAGTTGTAAGGTAGAAAACGCACATTTTTGGTTCCATCAAGAGAGACTTATAACTAGATGCTAACTTGTAAAAATATCTAAGTCCTGATTTTCAATTTGGCCCTAACATAGCATCTGATTTTGCAGGTAGCATTTTGCTTCTTAAATAACCATGCCTCCAGTCTACTGCAGGTACAATCATTAGTTCTAGGCAGAAATCTTCTTAGACTGCAGTATTTGTGCTGCTGAGAATTACAGCTGCAAACATGCAAGGGCAGTTATTTGTAGGTGTAAAATTGCTCATGCACCTCTGAAAAACAGGGCCTACCCTCAACTGATTCCCTTTTATATATTTTACTTCCCCCACTACTTCTCTCTTACTTCAGGAGATCTCCTCACTTGTGCTGTACCATATTCTCTTGGCGGAAGGCTGGGCTCCAGTATAAATTCCACAAGAGCCCTGATTTTTTATGAAATGGAGGGTAGGAAAAAATATCTGAAAAGTGGAAATGATTCTCCTTTTGGTTCCTTTGGTTAATCCAAGGTTTAAAAATAATTAATTTCACTCTCATTATACTATTGGGATATCCATCTAGTGAAGATAGATTAATATTTTCCCCATGGAACCTTTGTCTTGCAGCCAACTTTTCCAAATATCAAACAATTTGAGCCTAAAACCCAAGTGGTTGAATTCAGTTATGCTACTGTGGAGCCACTTGGAAGTTATGGTTTGGATGACTCATGCTTGCATTCTTCTCTGTGGGACAGAATTCTAGGTTAGACTACAGTTTTCAGTGATTCCTCATGGTTTCCTTTCCTGACTAGTAGAAGTGAAGCATTATGTCCCATGAGTAGTCTGCATCCTGTAGTCTGATTATGGAAGAGACTGGAGACCTGAGACAGCCCAAATGTAACTTGACTGCTCAGTGTTAACCTGAAGACACTACTTCTCCAAGGTACAGAGTTCCTCACCCTCTTGTGCAATTTTTGGAAGGGTGACAGTTTTGGAGGGGCACAAAAATGACAGCAGTGTTTTTGTGACATAGACAGTTCACCACTTGGAGAAGGTTTATGACCCCCAAACTCTTTCACATCAACCTAGCATCTGCTTTTAATCTTTACTTACATTGGAGTTAGAAGTTAACAGATCAGTATTCTTTTATCAACCCTGTGTGAACCATATAGTTCCCCATTCTCAGACTCTCATAGAAACTTCACTGTTCTCTCAAAATACATAATTATTTTGATTTGCCTCTGATTTCCTGTATAGGTGTTGGTACATCTCATAACTGTTCCAGTTCAACTTACTGTGGGCCTGAGGTAGAATCAGAACCTGAAACTAAAGCTGTGGCTAGATTGATTGAAAACAGAAAAAGTGATATTTTGTGCTTCTTGACTATTCATTCTTTTGGACAGCTCATTCTCTCCCCATATGGATACACAAAGGAACCTGCAAGTAACCATCAGGAACTGGTAAGGCCACAGTTCCACAATGTACGTTGGAGTCAAGTATTACATTTTCATTAGTTCTTGCATCCTGATCACCTCCTTGATGATTATAATGTGTCTGTTTTAATAACGCCCAGTATCTTGTTTGCCTCTTCTTAATACTGACAGTAGCAAACAAAGTACTTGTTGGTTTTGATATGGCATTTATCTGAAGGGAGAGATGACATATCAAGAAACAAATCAATAGTTTTTCTTTAAAGAAAACACCACAACTTCCTGAAGGGAGGGTGAACTTATGAAGCATGTACGTTCT